AATGTTCAGCTTCATCCATGGAAAGCATATGATGTCAACTTTCGAGAATTTGGAGGTGATCCCTTTTAGGATCCACCTCTTCTCCTAGACCATCATGCTTCTCTACATTGTAAATGGTTCATCTATGTAGAGACTTCTCCCATGATGATCAACATTATCCATGGGAGGTTTATGATGTCAACCTTAGAGAATTTGGAGTTGGTCCCTTTTGGTATTTACCTCTTCTTCTAGACGCTCATGCTTCCCTATATGGTGGATGGTTTATCCATGCAAAGGCTTCTTCTATGATGATTAGCTTCATCTATAGGAGGCTTATGATGTCAGCCTTAAAGAATTTGAAGGTGGCCCCTTTTGGGATCCACCTCTTTTTTGAGGCACTCATGTTTCCTTACATGGTGGATGATTCATCCATGCACAGGCTTCTTCCATGGTATTCAGCTTCATCCATGGGAGGCATATGATGTGAACTTTGGAGAATTTGGAGGTGGTCCCTTTTGGGATTCACCATTTCTCCGAAGCGCTCATACTTTCCTACACGGTAGATGGTTCATCCATGCAAAGGTTTCTTCCGTGGTGTTTAATTTAATCCATACGAGGCATATGATGTCAATCTTGAAAAATTTGGAGGTGGTCCCTTTTAGGATCCACCTCTTCTCCGAGACACTCATGCTTTCCTATATGGTGAATGGTTCATCCATGTAAAAGCTTCTCTTATAGCGTTCAGCTTCATCCATGGGAGGCATATAATGTCGACCTTGGAGAATTTGGATCTTCTCCGAGCTGCTCATTCTTCCCTACATGGTGAATGGTTCATCCAAGCAAAGACTTCTCCCATGATGTTCAACTTTATCCATGGTAGGCATATGATGTCAACTTTGGAGAATCTCGTCTTCGAGGCGCTCATGTTTCCCTACATAATTGATGGTTTATCCATGGGGGTTGATGTATAGGCGAAGATGAAGCCTTACACGATGAATACGTAAAAGGTCATGCTTGTACATAGGTAAAATATGAAAATTGTCTTCAAGTCCTTCAGTAAGTTCATGTCTGGGTCCCTCAACAATTGATTCTCATATTTTGACTTTCATTTCAACCATACCCTTGATAAATTGCATTAAAAGTCCTTCAACTTTCGAAACATCTGCACTTCAATCCCTAAGGTCACATTTTTGTACGCTTTTAGTCATTTTCTCTTTTTTTATGTTATTCCACTTCAATTAAAATTTTTTTTGCTTATCACTTGATAAAGGCGCCCTTCTTCAGTGTTTCTTCCTTAATGGCCTCTTTTTCAAAGGCCTCCCATTTGCAAGCGGGTCTTCCAATAGCCTCTTCATCAAAGACCTACCTTTTAGGGGGTTTTCTTATTCAATACCACTTCTTCATCGACCTCACCCCTTTTAGGGGGTCTACTTATTTAAGGATACTTCTTTAGCGGCCTCCCCATTTTGAGGGAATCTTCTTATTCATGACCTCTTTGTTGGAGACCTACCCCTTTTAGAGGTCTACTTATTTAAAACAACTTCTTCAGGGGCCTCCTCTTTTTCAGGTGGTCCTCTTATTTGTGGCCTCTTTGTTGAAAACCTCCATTTTTAGGGGGTCTTACAAATGGCGTTTCCCACAGATGACGTCAATTTGTTGACCTTGTTTCCGTAATGGTTACATGGACAGCAGATGTTGAGCCCATTCGCATCCACGCGAGCAAATTCCTACACATTTTGACTGAAGACTTGAAAGGAGAATTGTGGCGTTTATGGACGTGGGAAATACTCTACAACGCGAGACAAAATTGTTTGAACACCGACAATATTATCAAAGGTAAGTGAAAATAAGTAAGAGAGAAGATAAATTATGGTTTTAAATGTAGAAAATTGCATTATTTATAGAATTCTGGCTGAAGTGGTAGTCGTTGGATAAGAACCACGTGGCATCATCTCCCAAGTTGAAGCCTCACATCACTTAGTCTGCTATGCAGTTAATACATTGAAACGGGTCAGCTACCATATACCCTAAGCTGACAATCATGACATTCCTAAATATTGTCTGCAGATCCTCTAAAAGATAGCAAGGGTTTCAGTCAAACAGAGCTTCGGACTGGAGCGAGGGCATCAGCCAAAGCTTTGGGACAGAGAGTTTCGACTTCTTTGATTTCTTATATAGTGCTTCGACTTTAGAGTTTCAACCACTTAGATAATGCTTTAGCTCAGAGCTTCAGCTACTCGCATATGCCTCAGCCATGGAGTTTCTGCTTATACATGGTGCTTTAGATGAGACGTTGATTTGTCATCTTTACCTATGACTTCGATTTGATTTTTGATGACATGGAGCGTGATCTTTTTGGGCATTTTTTTGACCCTCGATTTTGAGGTGTGCGCTTCTTCTTGAACCTCGATTTTGAGGCATATCAATATCATTAATGTTGAAGTAAATGGGGACAATTATGAAGCAAATTTGGAATTGAAATTTTCCAATAGTCGCTGTACATTTCTGACCCACATGATGTCTACATGACAGTAAAAGGTCAACACAGTAAGCCACGAATGTATAGCTTGGAGCCACGCCGCCTCTTAACTTGTCATCAAAACATATCACATATGAAGACAAATTGTGGATGGTTGAGTATACAGGTCGGAATTGGTGGGAGTAATAGGAGGGCAATAAGGAAAATTGCACTCATGATTCTCAATGTGTTATCCTTCTAGTTTTGATCCTCTATCTTTCTATCATAATTGCATAATCCTCGTTAATTATGAACAACGGTAAAAGTCTATGTGAAATCATCATGTCCATCGTATGTGACTCTCTCATATCATATGAAAATAGTCTATAAATTAAGACCTTTCATTTCGTTTGATTGGTCCAGTTTTTACTTTTCGTATCATTCTCGAACCAGATAACATGGAGAAAAGAAAAAAATAACAAATAATCACACCCTTCTGTTAAATACAATATAACTAGAATAAAGTCAAATGTTAAGAAATTAAATTTTACTTACCAACCAGCGTGTCATCAAATTTGGACCATAAAATTGAACTTGTTGAGAAACTTAAAAGTAACCCACAAAACCAGTCGATTCAAAACCAAAGCCTACTATTTCAAATTAAATTTTTTTTTTTTCACCGATTTGATTTCAATTCAACCTTTGATGCATGACCCTTTTCCTCTTTACGGTCAATTCTCTAGCTATTTCCAAAATAGTGTACCAAAGTGAGATTTGGTGCTCCGAGACTGAATTTCTATAGTTGTAATTCAAGGTCGGTTATCAATTAGTTTCACTTTAAATAGTTGGGGATGGAATTACTATTGAAAGAATAGATTGATGACCAAATTTGTAAGAAGTGGAGAATTTTGTAAATTGGAGGGTACAATCAAATTGAGAGAAAAAAAAAATCAAACTTGAACCAAAAGTTAGCAATGGGGAGAGGGGCCCTTGATAATGAGAAATAGTACACTTGTCTATTGAAATTCCGACTTCTACACTAATCCTCTATCTTTTTTTCTATGCTTTGGCCAGTATTTATTGGTCAAATTTTTTTATTTCATTTTATGTTATCTAGTCTTGGCATGATTACAGCTTAAAATTAATGTACATTTGTGCATGTCAACTTCAGACAATATCGTAGGATTAACAGCGAAAGGGGGATCCGAATATGTGACTTTTCACTTGCAACTATTTGTCTTTCATCAAAGAGTCTAAATTTTTATCAAGTATATAACCATCTTTACGATACTTTTGTAGAGATGAAAACGATTTATGAAATCGACTCTCGATTGAAAATTATAGTTAAACTATTACCGCTCCTAACTCTTAAGAATTTAGAGGTAGACGTCGTAATTATAGCTTTTGAAGATTCGAGAAATACCAAAGATCAACGTAAAGTTATAAGTAACGCAACTTATTTACACCTTATAATTTTCTGTTATTTAACCTACCTCGTCGATGTCATATTCCATTCCTTCGCGTCATTTCTATAACTTAGTTAGGGACTTACAAGGCTTCCTTTTCCGATACTCCAACATTTCTATATCCATCGATGTAGATGTGCACCCGACCATCGAAGGAGTCCAAGGTTTGTATTAAAGGGTATGTATCAAGTTGTTGCAAACAGAAGGATGCGCAGGATGTACAGGTACTAGCTAGCCCTAGCGGGTTTAGGTCCACCCATAATTTTTTCTTTAAATATTGGCTCGACTTAAAAAAAATGTGTGTGTGTATATATATATATATATTCCGATCTTAAGTTTGTCCTCGAGCAAGACAATATCAGATTTGATTAAGAAAGAAAGACGTGCAGTAAAATTTATCTAATCTATTTCAACGTATTAAATATGTCATAATTGTTTGTTGATTTTAAGATGACGATCAGTATGTATCAAATTATGAATCCCTAAAGTCTTTTTTTTTTACATATTTATTTCCAGTCATACTTTCACACAAAATAAAATATTCTACACGTAAACCCAAGACATTTTTCTACTTTTTAACCATACATTATCCAAAAATTCCTTATTCAAAATAATGTTTTTCCAAAAATTGGCCACCAAACAAGGGCATAAATACTGGATCCCCCTTAGACGAGGTAGTGAAATTTTAATCTATTCTACTGAAGGATAAAAAAGTAAATTTCTTTCTAACATATTCTAGTAAGTAGTGTTTCTATTTCATTAGTTATATCCCGAGATTATGCCAAAAATTTCATGTTCAGCAAGCTCTATCGTTCCTAATACTAGGGCAAAGGTCGCTTATGCCCCCATAAGAAAATACACGAGTGTGCCATGAAGGAAACATTGTGGAAATAACAAAAATAGAAGAAAATCCACGCAGTTGGGTTTTGAATAATTGATTTCATAGATAGACAATATTAGGGAACAAGAGTAACAAGTGCCATAATACACAGTAGTCTATGAAACACTGAAATTATTTCTTCGTAAATTAAATCCTACTTATATATAATAATTTCATAACAATCACACTGAATCTGCTTAAAAACAAACCTTAAAGATTAACCCCTGCCGCTTCCGGATTCAACGCTGCTGGCCGATCTCAATTCTGCAGCAGCTGCCATTGCTTGATACTGAGCCTGTTGGACTTGTGGTGGGCCCCCGATTACTCCTCCTGGACCAGCCGTGTACATCACCTGTCTACCCATCCCGCCGTCGTAAGCCACCTGTGTGTAACCCGCCTCCGTCACCACTCCGACTCCTCCGCCGCCGCCTGTGGTTGTGGGTCTCACCATACCGTAGCCTTCGGAATACCCAGTTACCTTATGCGGCGGCAGTGTCGGTGGTTGTGCTGCCGCCATGGACGGCACTGCTGCATGTGGTTGTGGTACCGATGGCATGACATTGTATACTGGTGGTTGATCACGGTAAACCTCCTGTGGCATCCTTTGAACGGCGTAATATCCCTGGCCGTTAGGTCCAGTCACGGGCCTCACCATGGGAGGCGCGTGATATGCACCTGCTGGACCTGGAATAATGTAAACTGGTTGTTCAGTGTTCAGAGTACTTGCCGGAAATACCCCTCCGCCGCCGACCTGCTTTTCTGGCCAATACCCAGTAGGCACTGGCACACCTCCAGGCATGGTGACCGGCGACAATTTCTCCGGTACCTTGTAATACTCACCGCCGGCAAATCCTCCGGCAAGATTATCATCGCTCTTTCTTCTGTACATCTCTTGTTGCTCTTCAAGTCTCAGCCTCTGCAGATCCTGAATGTGCTTCTGGATCGGATCGGATCCAATCAACCTCCCCTCTAAATTCGGAATAGCAGGATCCTCCGCCTCCTGAACCTTCCCCACCATTGGAGGCGGCGGAGGCGCCATTCTATTCCCTTTCTCCGACCCAAACAAGAAATCCACATTATTATTCATTGGCGGTGCCTGAGGTGAAACAGACGCAGTCACAGCCGCTGCAGGAGGAGGTGGCGCCGTCAGCACAGGCCCAGTATTCAACGCCTCCACGAACCTCTCCTTCTCCGATTTCACCTCATCCGATCCAAAACTCCTCGCTGAAGAATTCAAACTCCCATGCGGATTCGAAAAAACGAACAACCTTAGCCTCGCCGGTTTTGGAGAAACCCTATATAGCCGATCATACTCATGCATCATGTGCTCCAAATCATCATCATTCGTAACCGAGATCAAAGCGTCCAGATCTTCACCAGGCAACTGATATTTAAACGAAATATTGTCATTATCACACAACGCAATCAACTTCGAAAGCAGAGATCCAAATTTGACGTTTCGATCAACCGCGAGGATTTTAGTTTCGCCTCCTATATACGACAACAGATTGTCATGTGGGCGAGGATGGATTTTTCCGCCATAACTGCACATGAACTTAACTTTGTAATTTATGGGCATCTGACCATCTTCCCATGGTGGTGGGTTCTCAAAATCGATTTCTCGGGATCGTGGCGATGAGTCGCCGGATTCCGGATATGAATTGTACGAATAATTTTCCATGGATGGTGTGATAAGAGCTTGAATGGAACTTGGAGACTTGAATGATTTTTGAGGAGAATTCACAGTATTTGTTAGTCCATTCGAGTCATCTATTGGGGAGCCCTTTAAATTACTGGATTTGAGGTTTGATAAAAGGACCAGAAGTGGACTGAATTTTTGTGCAACCAGGGAATTTTGCTAAGGTGGCAACACATGAGATGTGTGAAATGGTTTTGATGGAGGATAATGGGGTAACATTAACAATGATTCACTGGGTTGCACAAGTAGCCGGATAATCTATGTGGGGCCCACGATGAGTGTAGTGGGAACCCTGGGGCATTAATCGAGGGGGAAAATTCATGTGGTGGTCACCCAAATTACATTTTTTTTTCACACTTGGTCGTTCAACTTAAATCTATTTTGTTCTGATCATTCAACTTGTATTTTTGTTTAACTGTAGACATTTATTCTATGATCTACAATATACCACTATTACTTTACATATTTACATATATGTCGAATATACCCTCGTGGTTTATAAAAAGAAAAAAAATAATAAGAAAATTGAAAGGTTGCATCAATATGTTGTAATTATTATTTACCTTATTGAAAAGTTGTTTTAATTGACAGTTACATATGAATATACATAAGTGTAAATAAAAACAGAATACCAAATTATTCAATTTATTTCATTTAAATAAGATAATTAAAATGATTATTGTTTTCAAAAATTAAGTCAATTAATTTTTCCCTAAACATAATTATTACTAATTATTAGTACACGATTAATAAAAACATTATTACATACAATTAAAAGAAATTATAATACTACTAACATAATTATTACTAATTATTAGTACACAATTTAAAAAAAATTATTAAATACAATTTTTAAAAAAATTATAATAATAATACTACATATATAACTAACATGAACAGTATTACTTATAGAGTTAGTTTTTTTCAAACCAATATTAATATTAAAAATAATATTGGACAATCGATTTGCACAATATTTGATCAAAATTGGTAATGGAACAAAACCTTATCTTGACTTCATCAACTTACCGAATGAGATAGTTATAGCATGTAATGATATTGAAATTTCGGAGTCACAATGTTACTAGGTTTGAAAAATGCATCTTCTTCTAATTATATGACACGATGTGGAATTCTTTCAATAGAAAATGAGTATATTAATTACCTCAATGACAAACTAATTGAGTTATTTTCTAGAGAAAGCGGAGAATTTGTCAACATTGACAAAGTAATAGATGATTCAAATCAATTTTATCTGTAGGAGTTGCTAAATATATTGCTTCTAAATGGTATCCCAACACATAAGTTAATCTTGAAAAAAAATTGCCCAATGATACTCTTGAGAAATTTGGATCTATCCTACAGTTTTTGCAATGAAATGAGAATGATTCTATGCGATTTCAAGAAACACATTATCTATGCAGAAATAATAGTTGGACAATATACTGGAAAACAAGTTTTCCTTCCACACATTCCATTAACTCCAGTAAATGAAGGATATCTATTCAAATTCAAAAAGAAAACAATTTTCAATACACCTATACTTTGCAATGACCATTAAACAAGGCTCGAGAACAAACAATGCCTACTATTGAAATATATTTTCATTAACATATATTCTTTAATGGACAACTAAATGTCGCACTTTTTTTAACAGAATTTTAATGCAAATAACAAAAGTCTCTGTAAAAGAAGAAAATAAAAAGAAGAAATGATGAGAGAAGTTGACAAAAAATATTGTATACAAAAAAATGTTATTGTAATTTTAACATCACCTTTAAATTCATGCAAAATTTTCCCATTATATATATATATACACACACTCACACACACACACACACTAGGTGCAAGCAACGTGCAATGCACGTTTGCTTAATTTATATTTAATAGTTTTGTTTAAGAATTAATTTGTTATCAATAAAGATGTAATTTTTTTGGGTAATTAAGGATGTGTCTGG